TCATTGTGAGTTGTTGCGTACATTTAGACAATTCACAGAGCTGTATCCGTCTATAGATGTTAGTAAGAGATAGTGCGCCTATTATGCGGGGACCCTTGACGGCTACGTACCAGCATGTTGATGTGAACGATCAACAGCTATAATTTGATACGGCACACTGCACGCTACGATGAACATAGTAGTGTAGCACTCCGGTGAGTTTTATACAATCAATTGGCTTATCTATATTATTGTATACATTCATAACGAGATGAGACTAAAGTATAAATAGTTAGTGACTTATCAAATTTAGTACATCTATATCTGCTAATGGCAAAATAAAATATACATTATCTATTAATATTGACTGCTGTATAATTTTAAATACTATGATCCATTAACCCAAGATCTTACTACTGTTAGATACCGGTTTTCCTCATAAAATAATATATTTTATCACACTGAGTGAACTAATTGGTATACGGTTGTATTTTGTGGTTGCCTTTTCGGGATAATGCATATTTATAGTTTGTCTTCTAATTAGCAACGTTTTACTATATAGGACTTACACCTACTGTATTCTTTCTCCATTGCCACTCGGTAGACTTTAATAATTAAAATATTAATTATAGAATACTATTAACTATACTGGTTAATAGATTTGGAATACAATACATAATAACAGTAACACAACACATGAGAGAATCCAAATTTCAATGAATATAAATCTAATGAAAATGTATTTTAAATATTATAAAAACAAAAATAAACTTTTAATAATAAATAATACATAGATAAACAAAAATTTGTTTCTATTGACTATTAAAATTGTACAGTAAAATAAAACAAATAGGATTAAATACGTTGCACAAATCCCCCGGTCTCCTTATAAACAGTGGGTAAGCGGATAGAGCACGTGCAGTGTTTTTATCAATGAGAGCCGGCGGGTGTGGACGCACCCTAACGCAAGGGTAAACAGTCCTCCGCCCCGCGTATGAATAATTTGAGAGCGCATCAAGGGCGAGGGCCAGTGGCGTGGATGGAATCGCAATAACCCCTAAATTATTAAATTATACGGGTAAAGTACAGTGGCGGTCGACGGATTTTTTTCTTTGTTTATTAATTGGAGTCTTTTATGACTTGTTTTTTTGCCGAAGAAGGGTTGTATGTTTTGGGAGTATACGTAATACACATAAATGTAAATATATGTGGATCTTTAGCACACAGTAGCCCATTCAATATTATCAATTAAATGTTCGATTTTGTATTGTTAGTGGTGGTAAAATTCGTTTAAAATATGACTTAAATCTTTGATTATAGACAATTTATAAAATTACCTACTGCTTAATCACAAAAGTATTATTATTTTACAGTATAATCAAATTATTATTGGAAAAATAATTCCTATCATATCAACAAATCATTAGAAAAAAATCATACGTTTAGACTCAAACAAAATTTTATCAAGTTTTCTACATTATCGGAGTAAAGTCTATAAATGTTTGCTATAAGTAGGTACGATTACGTGCACTTCAAATTATTTGTAATATACTATTTTAATGTTAGTTAAGTTTTCAACGCGCTTATCGCCAATTTAATACACAAAGTGGACCCATCAAAGCGAACAGTTGCCATCCATACACAGAACAAAGCGCTACAAACATTTATTATCAAACCGTACACCGAGCCCCCGCGTCATTGATATTTCATAACGAGCATGTCAGCGAGGGTGGTGAATGCGCTGGCCGCTGGAGCGAACTCAGCAGGGGTGTCACTCGTAAACTTTCACATTGTATTTTATCGATATCCTGCCGCGTCGAACTCGCACTCCGTGCAACCCTATTGTCTCAACATTCGTGACACTGGATAATAGCACTCCACCGTCGCTATATATTTATTACTTTCACATGTTGTAAAGACCACTAGATACCACTCACTACACTTGTCAAACAATGCAGTATAAGCACACTAAACAGTTTGACAAATATGACAAGAATCTTTTAAAGATTGACACTGAATATGGAAACCGTTGCAATAATCGACAGCGTGAAAGTCAGCTCGGGCGTAAATAATAGCTCGAAGCACAGAACAATAAGTCTCCGTGTCGATATAGCAACACAAAGACGAAACAATCAATTCACGGCATAAGTAGGTGTGATTGGACACGGTCTGACTACGGCCTGACTCCGAGACTAACAAAAGAAAATCTAAGCAATTAGTCGCCGTCAGAAAGAGCGGAAAACGCGAGTTAGACGCGGTCACGGAGACGAATGCGGCGCGATCACGACGCGCGGCCAATTGTCAGCACAACACTACGCACATACAACACATTTATATAGGTGAATTTATTTTCGAGACAATGAAAAAATTAAATCAGTAGCTACTATATAAGAGGTAACAGTAATCGACGCGTTAATACACAAAATAAATAAAAGTATCAGTAAATCCAATAAATTTAAAGACAACTAAAGTGCATAACATACATACTCTTACTGACCGCATGTAATCAGAAATTTAAATCAGCTGGAAGCACTGTACGCTTAATGCTTTACTCAGTGATGACACTTCATGACTCACAAGTAATAAATAATACATTAATACTTAGTGACAGTATTACAACTCTTAATAGTTTTACTTATTATCAATAAATTATTATTGCGACAATGTTTTTAATTAATATAATATTGATCACGATCCTCCTATTTACCGAAACACCATTCAGCGCATAAGTATTTAAATAAATAAACAGACTAGGTACATTTTACATAATAGTTATTGGGAAAATGAATAGAATGATGAAATAAAAAAGTAATCAATACAGAAAATTACAAACTTATTAAAAACTCGTTCAGAGTATTTAAACAAAAACGAGTATCATAGAAAAAGCGTACACCCGAGATAAAATCTACAGCATATTTTTTATAGCATTTACGCTTGCATGAAGCGCTATAAAAGCTTAACAAAGTTGGTACTACTCAGGTTCTCGCTCCACTGAGCGTGTTAAGTGATAATGTAATAATCCATTACAATGAAGCGCGCCAGTGTACGCTAAATAGCGCATTCAACCATTGAGTTGAAGGAGGCCGCCATCTGTCCGCCACAGAGGCAAACAATACAACCCTTCGTAATAACCCTCGCTGCTAGTTTGCCAGACCCTAAACAAATATTACTCGTAGTGGTGTTGCCGGATTTATAGTCGTACAGAACTTCTATTATTTGTAATATAAAAAGTTTATCGACCAATTTAAATGTTCATTCACATCGGTTATATTTGCATAATTGGAACAAGTTCTTGTTCACCAGCACTTTTGGTGTCGATGAAAGCTATAGCAACTCTACATGCCTTCTGATTAATCGAGGTTATCGCCCTTGAAGCACAACCGTGTATCGTCACTTACACAAACGAGCGCAATTAATATTCGATCCAAGCAGAAACATATGTTTCGTATTAAAAAATACACGTGGGAAATATTAATGTGCAAAACGAATGAATATTTCATAATAAAATTCTGAAGCGTTTTAAATTGATTCTGTTTCCGTTTTGAGGACGTGCTAAAATATAGCTATAATTAAAAGTGGGGGTTGTAGAATGGCGCCCACCCTGGGCCTAGGGCCGTGTTAGCGAGCGTAAAATCAACAGATTACTACGGAACCCCTGCGGATCAAGGGTCGCCTGTGGCTGTGAGAACACCCTGCAACGTGTAATATATATTGGTTGCTATTGAACTTTAGGGCTATCAAAATATTTTATGTACATAATAACATTTATAGTAAGTATAAATGCTATAGGTATTCAAGTATTGGACCATTTAAATGAAGCAGTAAATGATAGTGCACTTAAAAAAATATTGACTAATCTATCACAACATAAATAAAAATGCATGAAATATAAAGTTTATGTTTATCACCATGCAAAATTTATTTTAAATCAGTCTAACAGTTCGGAGGTTAGCATGTACAATCAGACATAGATCAAAATTTTGAAAAAAAATATTTCACTTCCAACATGAAGATTGGACTGATGAACTCAGATTAGGCAGTTTAATTATATTTAGCTTATAAATATATGATTTCATTTTTCGTTATTATTTAATCAAAGAAAAACAAAATAATAACACTAGACAGCCCTAATGAAATTCTCTTTTGTAATGCTAAACGTCAACTCATAGACAGAATTCATGTAGATCACACATTACCTAGGGGAGCTTGTTTAGCGATGCTCCCCACCGATATTACGATCATGACGTATTGATAAACTCTATCACGACACCGTATTCCAACGGCCGCGACCCTGATTGTCTGACAAATTATTTTCGCTTTCAGGCGAAGCGTGAAACTCTAAAATTAGGGTTACAAAAATAAATCTACGAAACATTTGTGAAAATTAAAAACCAAAACGTCAACAGAATGGTTTGTGCAAAGAACACCCCCCTTCCCGGTCCACCCGACCTTCACTGTCGACAAACAACCTCAAACAACCCCCGTGGCCGCGGGGTGCGCTGTCAAACAACGAAATCCAACAAACAGGCACAGCGCAATAACACGTTTTTTTACTTTTACAACATTTCCCTCAGCGCCAATTCTCCCGACCGCTAATAAAATACACCTTTTCTCCTTTCGCAGTATTCGTTATCGAAAAATTAACGCCATTGGAATGTGAAAATATAGTCACATACTGTCTTCTTAATGAAGTAAAAAGTTCCGTTTGAGCAAAGTGTAATAATTATTTTATTTTTAAAATTTTTAAAGAGTATGCTAGCAGCAACGTGTGTTTTACCTAGCTAGAAATTTTCAAAAAGAAATAAATTTACTATATCAATTAAAAAAAAAACTGTTATATAAGGCTTTATAAATGTATATAAAAAAACATTCCATATTAGACGTTTCAAGTTTCCTAATATTTAAAATAAAATTTGATAAACAACATTTACGATCGCATAAACTCTAATAGGTAAAACAAACGTTGCTGAATAAACTATCTGAACATAACTATATTGTAATAAACATAGAGTAGTACATACCTGTTTGTGCATTTCCACATTGAGGCCGTAAGACATTTCATAGTACTGCAACATAAACAGAAGGCATTAGACGAATCGATTACAATATGTGTGAAATGTAACATTGGTAGTGTGACACGAAAAGCTTTTGGCACAGATTAGCTTCCTCAAATTATAGGAGGCGAGTGACCAAACATCCGCAGCAGCGCAGTTTGGACCCGTGCCAGAAGTGTTCTCGACACATAAAAATTCTCTAAGAAAATTTCCTCTCGAGCGTATTAAAATAAATTGCGAGCGATTTGGCTACACTTAATCGTGATTCATATCTGAACGGAGCGCACATTCAGGGATTAAAGCATGCCAAAATACGCTATACATTTTCCTGACAAACGCAGGCATGTTATTGCGAGAAACATTCAGCTATCAACGCTTACACATGTTTTCAGCGGATCAGACGAAATCATTAGTATGATTAATAGCCCAGTAATCTTATCCATAAACGTTACTCTGTAGTTTTGGTTGGTTCTGATATCAGTATCCAAAAAATAATCTTTAAAAGCATTGATATGAACGATTCATTCAGTCGTGATCATGACCGACCCAAAAGAGTGGACGGAATGGATTGCTTCAGTCGAATAGAAAAATAATAGCCGACATGCGGGCGTTGAACAAAAGAAACATATTTTATTGATTATACACGCCAGAACGAATGCCACATTTGATAAACATCTCTATCCAACCGTTAAATTAGTTGCTCCCTTCAATGATTCCAGCTGATAAATTGACATTATGTTGCCTATACGAGTATTTATTCCTCGCTACAGATTTTTAACGGTCGACATTTATTATTATTATTCATAATATCGATTATAGCAATAATAAATTTTACTCACCATAACATAATGCCTCTGTATTTCAATTTTTTCACTAGCCAATTTTTCACATTCTAATTTTAAACTGTAACAAACAAAAAATACGTAATTACTGGTTTGTGAGGAGAGTAATTTTTAGTAATTTAGCTATAACCGGAGCTGTTAGATAAATTGTTATTTAATGTATGTAGTTAACCCACAATTACTTATGTATAATTAGTAGGTAGGTAGGCACTTAACAACCAAATCCCACGCACTCGACGTTTCTATTTAGAGAGCACTTGTAATTTAGTAAGATAAGAATTTATATATAACAAACAGCTTGTTATAAGAACTGTTATCGGTGTAGTAGGTCAGACTTGTTATGGTTAGTTTTTATCGCTCTGTCGCGTCGCTGTTCGTCTGTTCAGTTTCGTTTCGAGACTTGCCTACTAACCGGATAGAATCCCCACAAAAATATAAAAAACCGTTGACATGTATTATTATAAGACAGTATTTTATTACAAGGAAAACTTTGCATATCTATCTGCGGCTGACATTTAAAGCGATTAATATGTGATCACATTAAAATAGCGTAGAATAAATGGTTCAATTTTCTTTTTTATAGCATAATAAAAAAGAATTTATAGATTTAAAACGTTTAATCACTTCTTTACGTCAATGTATCTATTATATTATCGAAAGTTATATTTGTGTATAATTATTATAGCATTGTATATTTTAAATTCAAACCAAATTTATTAAGCGGTGTTAGTATTAAATGTCTTTTCCATTAAATTCTACGGATCCTGTACCTTCGGAAATACAAATAAAAGTTTAGGAATTAAGTACCGTATGTAGTACCTGCCTACTTACAACTTTTTTTTATTTTAAACGTTGAATTTTATTGTAAAGATTTGATTATCAATACGGTAACAATGGGTCAAAAGGTAGGGTCTGTTAAAAGGGACAGGTACCTATAGTGCTAGGGGGTTATTCCAATGAATTTCTCTTATGAATGCCGGATGAGCTCTTTTTAACTGTTTTGTTTTTGTAGTTCTAAGAATATATTTACACTACAGTGCATATTTTAGACTTTACAAATGAACGACGAGATTTTTTTTTTATTTGAATTGTAAATATTACTATAATATGTTGGTAATGTTGTCAAAGTGAATTTAATATAGATATTTCTTTAATATCTATATAAAATTCACTTTGACAAATTACTGTATATATAAATACTTATAATATCTTTATTATAAGTATTTATATATAGCAATTTTAACTAATACACCGCAAAAATGTATTCAATGCAAATTAATTAACACTTATGAATTCTTCCTGTAACATAAATTTAAGAATGAGAGTATGCCAACAAAACAAATGGATCGTATTAAATGGAAATTGGCAAGTGCGCAGCTTGTGTACTAAACAATGAGATACAATTTACAATAATGTGTATTAAATTACTTCAATCAACTCGTATAATTAAAGTACAATAAACAGCTCAGTAAATGGTTAATATAACGAATTCACATTTAGTTATATATTAGTAAAGATGAAAAACGTTTGCATTAGTATATTCCTTGTTGGTCTACATAATACTTACTTATGATATTGTGCTTGAAGAAAATTAAATTCCTCTTTGATCCGATCACAGGATTCGCCTACAGTAAATTTGATAGGTTGGCCGGGCTGCGGTGGGCCCTGTGAACAAAGAAACAGTAGCTATTGTAAAAAAACAGAAAATGGAACAAAAATATCGTGTATTGCTAACATAACATACACACATTACATTGTGTTATTTCGTCTTATTTTCTCATTTCTTTGAGCGGATTATAATACAAGTACAAGAGTGTACAATGTGTACAATTTTTTATATCCACAATGTAAGACATGGACATTTAAATATATACCTACATATACTTGGATTACAAAGATGATTTATTTTGTGATAGTTTATTAATATGCCTATGATTAAACTTACAACTACATATTAACATCCAAATATTCCGTAAGAATTTAAACACAACTACATTCAACAGTCCATCGTTCATCAATCTCGATCTCCACATAAAAACATTCCTATCACGAAACAAAAATTACACGCATCCCAAATTACCATAATACAAATTATCCTTTAATGACCATAATTCGGTGTGAGCCTCGATTAATGAAAAAAAAAGAACAACGCCAACCGCTCGTCTCTTAACACAAAATAAAGTAACAGGAACACGCGAGCATGTAGTAATAAAAAAAACGTAACTTCATAATAAGAAGCACGAAAATAAAAATAAAGCGAGGGACACAACAACACACGGTCGCCGGAGGCCTGCGGCAAAAAATAAATAACCGCCGCTCGGAGCCGGCGCGAGGAACAAACGGACTTTAAAAATAATAAAAGGAGCGTAAATAAAAGCGTAAAAGGAACTGGTGCGGCGTGTAGACGTTGTAAATGGAGCTGCGGACAATCGGGCTCGGGAAAAATGTGGCCGGGAATTTAGTGAATGTAACCGCAGGAGATAGCCTTGCGGTCGGCCGCCTCCGCACCGATGTCTCATGCTGTAATGAGCAATCGCGCACTTCATAACGTAATAGGGAGGTGCAACGTTGATAGTCTAACCGCAGCTAGCTCTTGTACATGTAGTTATCAATCATTATAGGTAAGATGATAGCTAGATGTCATAATATAGAATGAAATTTAAACCCATAAAATATACATTATTTTCTATTAAGATCACACTCTTGTACATTTTGTATATCAGTGTACATTTAGGAATAGTAAAAAGATCACTACGACATGATATTACGGTACCATTACTTTTAGGCACGGGCCTTTCCCTACAAGAGGACGTTTGTTCCCTACACACCAAGTATTTTGTTATTGAGTCCTATCTCCATTCCTTTTCTTCTACGTCTACTAGTATCCTTGTTTATTCCCATTATCGCCTACTACATGCGTCTATCCTATGGATGATAAGAAGCGGTATTACGATTTACGCTAACGCCAGATATTGTTATATGATGGGAAATTCAGTTTTTTATTTGATATATATTAAATAAAGAATTTTAATGTTTTTATGACAATTAATCAATCATCACAAAATCAATTAACATAAAATATGTTTCTTCAACTTTACTGTTAATTTTATGTTCTGCTATTTGATATATATATAATAACATAAAGCAAGGTTGTGTACGAATTATTATGCTGTAATGTATAAAAAATAAAAAGTAAATTATATATTTATTTTTATCGATTCTAAAATACTAACAGATGTCAATACCTATATCAAAACATAAGCGTCTAATTGCTTCCAAACCATAAACAAAAACAAAACAATCATGAGCAGACTCGTAGACTTGGCAATTACTTATCCATGTTCAAGCCTTTTGATCGGATAATAAAAAGCAAATTGAAAGTTACAGACTAATGTATTTTGAAGGTAAGAACAAAACGATAGCGACAGTAGCTGCCCGAGGCTTGCGTCGGCGCGGCGACCGCTCACATGTGGCATGCATGACGAAATTATAGAACGGTTGATGCGACTTGCGACTCTATAACACTTTGTCGTGGCTTTTATACACTGCCAGTAACGAACTAAGTGAGAACTAAAAAGGATCAAAATAAAAAAGATGTTCATTAATTATTTACTATATAAATTAATGTACCTATATACTAAAAAATATATATGTATCAAGTAATATAAATATATACATACTAAACAGAGTTTGTGTTATGGGTACTAAGCAGTTGCTTAACTTTGCTTAGCTTGGGACTAGATGGCACTTAGTGATTTTATTTAAATGATGATAATGGGTGCAAGTAGACAATGATAAGATGAGCATGAAGTCAGGTCAGTTAGCCCATTGTGACAAATTCTCCAAGAAGATCTTTAGGTCAGGTCCCAATGTGATAAATTAATCAAGAATTTATCACGTTAGTTTCCAGGGGAACCATGTAGAGGTCAAATTGACATGGTAGATTGCCAGCAATGCGGTCATTAAACCACATTACTAACAATTCCCTTCCCACCGGCGCTGTGTAACTAGGTTATTATTAATTCCAGATAAATGTGGGCAAATGTCCGGTTTATAAACCTTAAAACAGTAGCGGGCGGGAGGGTCTCCCTCCCACCACACATTTTATCTGGACACGTTACATACGGGCCGGCTTTAATTATTTGTTTTATTCTGCGTTTATCTGCGGCCCGCTAATGCAGCCCGCGTGTTCGCTCACCGCACGCTGTACTGTTGTAGTTAAGTGTTTTATAGCCGCGATTAAATCACCACATAAAATAACATCACGACGGCACCACATTCGATACATTGCTGTAATAAATTTGTAATACACGCATCACATATACTATTCTTAAGTGTTGATAATTAATTAACTCATACACTATTAATTAAACATCGTATTTAGCCAATTATTTCACATTTGCTGTTTCCCGTGTGAATTTTGACAAGTAGCGTATGGACTATTGCCTGATATGTCCCGTACTTTTAGCTACAAAGAGATACTTATAGTATTTTTGATACAAACAAACAACCATTCGTGTCCACAAATTAAGAGTCACAGTTGTGTATGTGTATCAATTAGTATTATGAAACTTGAAATTACTCTAATTAAAACATCGTTAAATAATAAGGTAACGGTGATAATAGACCATCTAAAATTCAGCATTCAAGTGACTATTATTAATTCATAACCGTACATCACGTAACGTGTACAAATTCCCACGATGTACTGTAACTTGCTTGAGACATCCTACCCTCGATATTTAACTAAACAGTTCAATTTCGATTATCCCAAATTCAAATCGATCACAAAAGGAATGAAAATAATCCACGATAATAATACACTAAGTAAACGTTCCCCTGCGATAATAAAAAAAAAGATTCCCATAAATTATCGCCGAAAAGGTCAAATTAAAATACAATGAGGAGTTTTTGAGTGGCAGTATTGTGTAGGGTCCGGATGAAAGGCCCGCATCCAACGACGACTAAGCACAAAAACAAAACTAAACAAAGTCCGTTTAAATGGATATAAAAAGAAATACGTGTTCTTATTTCAAATTATTGAATAAGTCCGTCTGCCCACGTCTACCTGTACAATCAGGTGGAGATTTCTTTTTTATTGGAATTCGTATTTCGAACGACTGAATGGATGGATTCTGTTTTGTTACATTTTTTTTATTAACAGCGTTCAACAGAATTTGGTAGTCAGTAAAGAGATATTTTATTAAAAGATTTTTATATATTTAGATGTAAAATAATTTACTTTATTTTTATCTAATAGACATAATGATACGATTTACATATTTTATTACTAATGTAAAAAAAATGTAGTCTTATTTTTGACGTATAGTAATTCATGTTAAGGCCAATTTTAATAATAATTTTAACCTATTCGTGAAACGTGTGAAAAGTGAATTGATGTCAACTATTTATTAGTAATATTAGAGGCTTGCCCGTTCCACAGAGAGCACACACAAGTTCAGCGGCTCGGTAAACATCTAAACACCATTCGCACTTACAAACCAAACAAGCATAGACAAATATTTGAACACCGAGATTGGCTTTGTAACGTAAAGCCTTAATGCTGAACTATCACAAGCCATTTTCTACTCTACAGCTATATGCTTAGAACTTCTAATACTTAACTCCTGTTTAAATATATTTCCTTTAGGTTGGCAAAACAAAAAAAATATTGGTAAACTCATATGGTAGCGCTAGGATCAGAAAGCTGATTTTATTTTCTCAGAAACACGATACCCAAAGCTGGCCAATAGGGAACAACATGGTTTGTTAATATCGATCGTTGTCCAGCCGTTCGATGAAATTCAATTACATGATTTTATACACATTTAATTCCTAATGCAAACCGATATAGTATTACTAATGGATTTCTGCGCTTAAAAAAAACTGGCCATATAAACTACAACAGAGATAATTACCGGCTGTTTATGCTTCTTCTAAAAATATATGGTAACACTAATTAATAATAATTACTACCTAAATACTGGATCAGTACTCCAATCAACGAGGGCTGTTACCTAAAAAAACACGATATATATGTTTCTATATTTATATGTTCACTACATCATTAGTCCAGAGTAGATTTATTGTTAGTGTTAATGATCTATTTTAAAAGTTAACTGTTGGTTAATTTAATTTAACTGCCATTTAATTTGTTTCTATAATGGTTGCAATAATGTACAAAATTTTAATTCATTAAATATTTTATTACAGATATTCCAATATACGTTGTCTTTAGTACAATAAATTAATTATTTCATTGAATAATCAGATAAATAAACTACCGCAATTGATATTACTATTATTACCTCAATTATATTGTTAGTTATAAAAATTAATGACAATATTTGGTAGGTTTATCAAAACAGTATAATTTCTTTACCTCTTATTTTAAAAACGTGGGATATGAACATATACGCGTACCATTAGTTTCTTATTTCATCTTCTCTCTCATTATTATCATCATCTCATTCTTATTTCATCAGTCTTCGTATTCTTTTTTTATGTGGATATCTTTCCTAGGAGCAATCATTTTTCTGCTATCTCAATTCTTCAATAAATATTTTTTATGGGAGGGGGAATTGTTAGTATTCAAGATTAGTTCCATTGATAGCAATGGCACACCTCTGTCGAACTTAATGTAACCACCCTGGACCAAGGAGTCC